CAAGAAATTTCAGATAGGCCCGATATTGTGAGGCTAAATTCTTGACCTCATATTGTTATTTAAAAATTCGTAACTCCTTAACGGAGAATCGTATCACATTATTTTTTCAGAAAATGTTCTTAAGACAGGACTAAATTCTACACCACTGCAGTATATGATTGGGGAAAAAAAATTGAAAAATGTTTTTGACCTCTGAAATAAAGATGGAAAAAGAAGAGCCTATCTATCTAGACCTACCCTAGCTAGGCCTCTGTATTGCACAGTCTAGAAGAAGTAGGATCTATGAATGAGACCAACTCCCTCATGAAACCTAGTCTCAGAAGAGGACCTGCATGGGATAGGCCAGGCCTCTTTTTTTGGCTACATACATACAACCAAGGAAGGCAGTTTTCTATTGCTTGATTTCAAAAATGTGCAACGTACCACAAACCTAATACCGTAATTTGTGGTACTGTAAATTATTTAAATATAATAAGGTTTATCAGTGATGGTACCAGGATCTGCCTGATTGAGGACTAAATGAGCGAAGTGGGCATTTTGGCAGCGGCTGAGCTCCCTGTGGGGGTCCAGGGGAAAAAACCTCCTGGAACGATGTTGGACGAATGTTGGTGAATTATTAGTTTAAAAAAATGAATCCATCAGTCGGTGTTCTCAACATTTAGTCTCTTGATGGCTAGCTAAGGCCACTAAGTGAGAGTGGAGGCGCTAGTTGTGGCGATAAGGCTTTAAAGTTTCAAAAGCACAACTTATCTGATGATACCATATTACAATAAAATCGCAATTTAAAATTTTGTTTTTGTGGCTGTTGTGATGAAAAGTTAAATAAAATAGCTAAATGAAAAAGATACGTTTGGCCTAAACGAACATAAACTTGCGATATAATTTTGTTTAAATTCTTTCATTCCTTGAGAAAACTTCACTTTTTCCCTACCGGGGGTGGGGCGACCCTGACAAAGGGACCATAGAGTCATTCCATGCCAACTCAACCAGAAGCTACACGGTGACCGTCTTGGATTTTGCTGAAATTTTAACCAAACATATTTTGAGGGGTATTATGAAAAATCCCAAAGTTTCATTGAAAAATTCCCAAGCGGTCGGGAGTTACGACACTTTTAAATTTTGAAGACATAAACACACCAGACTTGCGAAGAGCAACGATATTTTGTTAGGGTTTTGAAAGGCAATATTTTCATTTCTGGACATCCAGAAAGCTGCAAATTGCTACTCTGGCTCAGTTTTTCCCATACTTTCTGATTCTGGCATCAGAACCAAGCTCTGAATAGGCATTAAAAAGTTATGAGCATCTCAAAATCAATTTTATTTCGGCAAAATTAATTATTTTAAGATTTTTGTGAAGGTTGTTTGGTCAACTACTGGCCGAGACTAAATATTTTAATGGCAGTTAGTTATTTAGGAATAGCCAAATGCAAGATTATTCCAATCAAACATATCACGGATTTATGACAATCCAAAAATGGCCGCAATTCAAAAATTGTCTCCCGTACCCTAAATTTGAGGAGTCAAGTAACTACGTAGATAGTTAGCAATGGAAATGAAACTTACACAACTGAAAGATATGTATTTTGGGCCATATGTGGTAAAAATATTTTTATCTCAACTCAATCCCTTCAATATAAACTCCCAATGCGAAAAGGGTGTATTTTGTATGTCGGCAACTTCTGGTTTCAACCCCCCAATCCCCATGTCCTAAACTGCAGTTTTATTTGACAACAAATGCTTGTGTGATCATTGTAGATAGAAATTTACAGTAAATAAAATTAAATACTATCAGAGTTTAAAATGTTCATAAAAAAAAAATTACACTGATAATTTTGGAAAGATTCTAGTTATAATCATTGCAACATTAAATTTCACTTTTCCCTGATTACAACACCTCATGATTTTAATCACTAACACAGATTCATTCCTAAAATCAGTAACTTTATTTGACATATTTTTTTTTCTTTTTTTGTATTTATTTATTTTGGTGTAAAAACAGACTCACATCAATCCAAGAGGGCAACCCTGTAAGCTTACAATCAGACACAACAGTTAAACGAGGAACATAAAAGGAATGAATAAAATGTACGCTGAATAAGAAAAGCCAGCATTTTAATACGTTAGCAATCATTATCATAAGTATTACTGTAGTATTAAATATACATACCTTTAAATTTACATGTGGGTGAATAATTTGGTAATTTTTTCGGTGTCTGGTGGATAAATTCTGTAAAAAGAACTCTTTGTTCCTGTATTTCTGGTGCATCAATTATGTAGATGACATGTTGAACAGGAACCCAACATCCTGGAGGCTCCATACATACAAAGGGGCTGGCTAGAGTCTTGGTCAGGGAATAACAAATCTATGTAGGGTTCACAGGGAGAGTTGTTATGGCTTAGTAACTCCCAAATTGTGTATTCAGACCACAATAATAGGGATTGGCGATCAAAATATCATTATTTGGATCTATGGCAATTCCCCCCCCCCCCCAACAAGATAGGCAACATATTTCCTAGGCTGTAGCCCATTTTCAGTTATCTCACCATCTGCTACTTGGCTCTGGACTGTTGAGCCCTTGATATCAGCACAAATTTGCAATGGAAGAAAGCAATAGTGGGACCAAGTTTTTGTTAAAGTTCTGGAGTAAGCAAATCGTTCAGTCATTTTTGGAGACATCTTTATTGAACACATGCAAAAGGATGATTCTTGGTATATTTTCTGATGCCCAAAGTCATCTTTGTGGTGACATAGGTTAAATGTTTCCAGTTCTTGTACTGGGAAACTGCTCCATCACTAGAGTATATTACTGTACTTTAGAGATACAAGAGAGCACAGGCACACTGATGATATACCTCCGACCGTCAGTTGCGCATTCGTGCGCTTTTTCCACCCCTGGGTCTATTTAGTACGTTTTGATTGTATTGTATTGTATTTTAGGAGCAATCAGCAAGGAGTAACAAGCAGTCTACCTTCAAATTAGACTTATAGACTGGGGGTTCGGGAATATTGGGGTTTGGGAGTTGAAAGCAGAAGTTGCCAACACAGACAAAAAATACCATTTTCACATTGGAAGTTTATATTGAAAGGGTTGAATTGAGCTGTACGAGCTCTGTTTTCAGACAGAAATTTGTTTTCGCCTATGTTTTACCATTAAACCATAAACAGACTAGGTTTATCCTGCTAAAACCATTATGTTTTTATTAATGATTCCACACTTGATGCATCTGTATAAGCCTATTTTAGGTTAGGTACTGCTACTCTATGCCTAGGAAAGTTAGGGAATTTAATCTTTTTCCTCTAGCCCTACCCCAGCCAGGCCTCATGTACCCAATCACAACAAAATCAACACTGCAGGCGTGTCATCTGATAACCCACTGAAAGTTTGTGTCTTTTTTATGAAAACGAAAAATCCTTTTTCTCAATTTGTGCACAATAGCTATTAATTAGAATAGTTGCACTCTTTAACAATTAGGTGAAATAGTAAAGTTTGATGTACATAATCAAAATGACAAAAAAAAAAATTGAAAAATAAGATTTTTGAAGTTTGTGCTTGGTGTCATGACGATTTACATAGCTCTTATTATGCAGGTGTCATCAACAAGATTGCAAATTATTATGAGTCAATTATTGTCTTATTTCTTTTCAGTTAATTGAGTTACCATGACAACAAATGTACAAGTGCAAGCTCCTCCAGTAGCTGGTCAGGTAGTTCTCTACCAGCCAGGTCCAGTACACCCTCCATCATCCTTGAACAAGAAAGCAGCGCTAATAACCGGCTATATGCAGATTGGTCTGGCAGTAGTGTCCCTTTCTTTTGGTGTGGCTACTATATTTTCTGGATATTATGCCGGATATATTTCTGTTCCAATCTGGGGTGCACTTGGAGTAAGTATTTTAGAAAATATCCATTATAAATTTTTCACAATTACAGTAGGCCAACAAAAAAAATTCTTGTGTTGGGCACGTTTTGGGAAAATCCAAAAAATGGGTAGGTCTGGTAGCAAAAGTTTTTTAGTTTGTTTCTTTCCTTTTCTATCAAATGATGTGTTTAAATCTTAATTGAAGGGTAAAATGGCAAAACACTGTCACATCACCTACCGTCCAGCAAGATAGGCCTATTCCAGTCTTTTTAGCTCATTAAAAAATATATTTTGTTGTAGTAAAAAAAAAAACGTACATTTTGCAAGTGGAAAAAAAAAGTATTTTTTGGAAGTGGGGGGGGGGGGGTCGGACATGACCAACACAATAATTTTTTTTATTTGATTTTACATTAGCAGATCTAAGATGTTCAGGGGGTTCTGACCCCCTTAAGAAAAAAAAATAATAATTCTAGACCTACCTTTTCAGCACCCGTGAGCTGAATTTTTTTGTTACAATGGGAAAACTAAAAGTCGGGAAAGCTTATTTCCCACCAGTCTAGGAATCAAAATTTTCCCTGGGAGGATCCCCGGCCCACTTTCGTTTTGGGTTCATCGTTTCATGGATAAAAGAATACATGCAACTTTTTTTTGTATGTATACATAGGCCTATTGGCTGTAATAGAAAGGAGAAATATACCTGAATGTTTTCAAGAACCTTGAATTTTTAATGAACTTAAAAGTTTATTTCCTTCCATCTAAGAATGAAAATTTTAACGTTTTGAAACCCCCCACCTCGAAATTTGAACCCTGCAATTACATCAAAATTAATTTCCACTACTCTTTCTTTTACTCATGTACAGTATTAGTCCTTGGCTCCACTTGGATTAATTGTAAATATATGAGACTTTTTTTTTATATAGATCTTGTTTAGCTACAGTAATCCCGCCACCCGCCAATAATCCTGATTTTGAATAAAAATTAAATTTTATGTTTTGCCAATTAGCCCACCCGCCGTCACCAACAAATGAAAATTTCAGAAAAATAATTCAATTGAATTAGGATTACAGGAATCTATAAGTATGCTGTATTGGTATCCAGCTTACCCCACCCCCAAACTATTTGACATCATACAGTTGGTTGACATGCTCGGTGTCTAAAGTTTTCTTATCTCATTAAATGAAATCATTTTTCTACAGTTTTACCTTGTGGCTGGAATTCTAGGAGTGGTTGCAGGACAGACAAATGGAAGAAATAAATGTGTTGTAAGTTACACATTTTACTGTATTATTATTAATGATTATTGTTTTGAACAGTATTATGCTAGCCTAAAAATAAAGAGTAAAAAAGAAAGAGTACAATTGAGGCACTTGCAGCATTTTAAAAAGAATTCATCATAATATTTTAAATAAAAGTTGATTGAAAATGAGTTATGTATGTACGTAATAAAATATATACCAAAATGCTTCTCCTAGTTTATTTTTAGGGGAGCAATTTTGGATTATATTTGGGGTGTACTTTTTGGCTATTTTTAGAGACATCGTGTAGACAGCGAGAGGTCGCAGGTTCGAGTCCCGCCAGAGGCATTTTATTACACAATTTCTTTATTCATTTATTTACAGGACTACATTCGTTGAGAGCTATGCTACACGATGTATTTATTAAGTCCTTTAT